CAACTAGATTCTGGGATCACAATGACAAAGTGATTGAAATCCCTCACCCTCTACACAGATGCCTGGGGTCCAGGAAACCACTGCTCTTAAGTGCTGCTCTGAGACTGAGCACACATACATCTTCCATGTGTTTATTGCAGGAAATCTATCTATGTCCTGGCACTTGGGCTTGGGAATTCCAATCAAAAGCTCTCCTCTCAGTCTATATAAATAAACTCATGGTGGCTGCATGTGTGTCTGGCCCATAATAATCATTACTAGTTCATGGGATGGAGTTAGTTGGGGTGAGGTGAAAGGGAAGAAAACATGTATGCCCAGGCTTCTCCTCCTTTGCAACACAAGCTTGCTCTGTTGGGCTCTGGATGAATTCTAATCTGTCCCCCAAATAGGGAAAATGGAAGGAAAAAAGGAAAAGGACAAACTGTTATGTCATCTTCTTTTTAGAAACCACAGAGAGGGGTGCCTCTTGTGATAAAAGTTCTCCTGATTTCCAGCCAGCCTATGATCTTGGAGGCAACCCAACCACTAACACCAGTCCAGAGTTGATTGTAATCTCCTAACAAAATGCCAATACAAATGGCCATACTCTATTGGGACCCCAGACAGAGAATCAATTTCACTTGTTAATTCATCAGATTGATGATGGACCTCATCAGATTCGTCAGGGGCCTCTCTTGATCAGCCTCTACCCCACACCTTACAATATTATTTCCTTTGTATCCAAGCTAATAATATTCTCTTACACAGGGAATAGAAATATCTGAGGAAAGGCACTCTGGGAAAATCAAAGTTCTATGAATCTCTAGATGCACCACTTAGATGCTGTTTAAAGGTTATAAACAATTTAAGTAATACAATCTGAATTGTATTCATTCCTCCAGAAAGTACCAAGATGAAGTCATCTCAGCCTACTAAAGGATGAAGCTTATATATCTTCCTTATGTTACTTGGATTTAGAACAGAAATAGAAATTAGTTATCTGTCTCCTGAGGAAAGTCTGTTAAGAAACAGGCTGGGTGTCTTCCATCTGCTCAGGGAATCTACCACTTCTTGTTTCTGCCTCATAGCCAGCCTCTTCAGGAGAGAAGACTTGAGACCATGGGTGCAACAATGTCCTGAATTTTCCATCTCCTGCTAAGTGTAGTGTATCCCCTGAAAAAAGGCTGCTAGAGGTCAGGTCAAGCATCTTCTACATGCTCCAAAGCAACCACTTCCATCTGTACCAGCACAAGGCATCTTCCACCTCCTGCTGCCATCCCAGTGTCCCAACTGGGACGTAGACAACCTCCAGTGCAAAGAAGAGCAACACTCCCTTGGACTTTAGGCTTCCCATCTCTTCCTGTACTTGTCATTTGACGGTAGAGGAGTGGTGCCTTCCACTCAGTAGTGAACATTCTCACACCTCGAACATCATCCAAACCCCATTCCATAGGCCCAACATGTAATTTCTCATTCCCATTCCCTTCAACCCTTCCACCCCAAAGTTTCATAGTAACTACACCCAGATCTTCCACTGTGTCTCTGGAATGCCTGTTCCATAGGCAACAAACTTCTCTTCATCCTAAATCTATTCCTCTCCTACTCTTTCTACTAGCTCTTTTTGAAACCTTGATTTCCCCTGATGACACAGACTCCCTGACCACCCTTTCCAGTACTGGCTGTACCTTCACTCATTCTCCTTAGCTGACTGGTCATGGTGGGGGAGTTGGAATATTCCTTGCTGTTTCCTTCCTCTTTCCCCTTCACCCAGTAACTTCTTTTCTTTGAGATTCATGCTATTCATATCTACCACCCAATCAAAATCCTGGTAGCTGTTGTCTATAGACTTCCAGGTCTATACCCTTCCTTCCTTAATGAGTTTGATAGCCAGCTTACAATTTCTCTCTCCTCCCCAACTCCTGCCCTTATACTTGGTGACATCAACATACATATTGATTCTCCCTCAAATACCCTACCAACTCAGTTCCTCAACCTACTCACCTCCCATAAGCTACTTCTCCACCCCATCTCAGCCCATACGCAAATATGGTCACACTCTCTTGATCTTGCCATCACCCACAAATGCACCACTTACATGCTCAGAAATTCTGAAATCCACTTATCTGACCATGACCTCTTGTCTTTTCATCTATCCTTCTGCCTTCCCTTACGTTAACTTTATTCTTTATCCATACCATGACCTCCAATCCCTTGACACCTCAATTCTCTCCCAGGCCATTCTCTTTTCTTTCCCCGCCCCTTGAGTCCTTGGCGAACTAATTCAACTCTACACTGTCCTCCTCTCTTGAATCCCTACCCTCTTTATATCACCAATTACATCCAATCAAGCCTCAGCCTTGGATCACTTCCATCACTTGTTGCCTTAATGCTTATGCACATGTTGCTGAATAAAAGTGGAGAAAATCACATAACTGTTCTGACTAGATCCATTATGCATTTATGTTACATAACCTCAACTGGGCTCTCACTGTTGCTAAGCAATCCTACTCTGCTTTCCTTAGAAACTCACTATCCCACTCTCCACAGCAGCTATTCCAAATCTTTTCATCTCTTCTCAAACCTTCCATGGCTCCCCCTCCCCCACTATCTTAGCTGAGAACCTTGCCTCATCTTTTACAGAAAAGAAAATTGAGGCCATTAGCTGTAAACTCCCTTTTTCCCCCTCTTCCTCATCTCTTGTCACTCAGATATTCTTTGTCACTCTCTCCTCTTTCACCCCTGTTTCACATGACATAGTTGTCTTACTCCTTACAAAAACTAATCCCTCTACTTGTTCAAATGATGCCATTCCATCCCATCTCCTCCAACAGATTGCCCCCTCTGTCATCACTACTCTTTCACTTATTCTTAATCTCTCCCTCTTTATTGGCTCATTTCCTACTGTCCATGTCACCCCTATCCTAAGAAAAAAAACAAAACTCTCACTAGATTCTTCCATCCCTGCTAACTGTCATCCTATATCTCCTCTGCCCTTTGTAGCTAAATTCTAAAAAGCCATCTATAATAGATAATTCCACTTTCTCCTCTCACTCTCTTCTTAGTCTTTACAGTCTGGCTCCTGACCTTCTCAGTCCACTGAAATTGGTCTTTCCAAAGTTATTAATGATCTCTTAGTTGCCAAATCCAATGACTTTTTCTCAATCCTCATTCTTCTTGACCTCTCTGCAGCCTTCATCCTGTTGATTATTCTCTTCTCCTTTATATGCTCTTCTCTCTAGGTCTTTGGGACATCACTCTGTCCTTGCTCTCCTACATAGCTAACCCTTCTTTCTCTGTCTCTTTTGCTGGATCCTTCTCTAGATAATACCCTCTAATCATAGGTGTCCCTCAGGGTTCTGTCCTGGGTCTTCTTCTCTTCTCCCTCTATACTACTTCCCTTGATGATCTCATCAGCTCCCATGGATTTAATTACCATCTCTATGCTGATGATTTTCAGCTCTACCTATCCTGCCCCAATCTCTGCTGACCTCCAATTTCACATCTCCAACTGCCTTTTGGACATGTCAAACTAGTTGTCCAGTAGACATCTTAAACTCAGTAAGTCCAAAACAGAACTCATTATCTTTTCCCTAAACCCTCCTCCCCTCCTACATTCCCTATAACTGTAGAGGGAACCACCATCTTCCCTGTTCCTCAGGCTCACAACCTAGGAGTCATCCTAGATTCCCAACTATCTCTCACCCTCTATATCCAACCTAGTACCTAAGCCTATCAATTTCACCTTTGTCACATATCTCAAATATGCCCCCTTCTCTTCTCTGACACTGCTACCACTTTGTTGCAGGCCCTCATCACCTTCTGCCCTGATTACTGCAATAGCCCACTTGTGGGTCTGCCTGTCTCTCATCTTTCTCCACTCCAGTCCATCTTCCATTCAGTCACTAGAGTGATTTTCCTGAAGTGCAGGTCTGACTATGTCACCTCACCCACTCAATTAACTACAATGGCTTCCTATTGCCTCCAGGAGCAAATACAAAATGCTCTGTTGTGCATTCAAAGTCCTTCAAAATCTAGCCCTCTCCTATCTTTCCAGTTTTCTTATACTTTTCTCCCTGACATGGACCCTTCAGTCTAGCAACACTAGCTTCCCAGCTGTTGCACAAATAAGAAACTCTATTTCTTGGCCCCAGGCATTTTCTCTGGCTTTTACACATGCCTGGAACACTCTCCCTCCTCTGCTCCAACTACTGACCTCTTTGGCTCCCTTTAAGTCTCAACTAAAATCCCATTCTTTACAGAAAGCCTTCCTCAACCCCTCTTGATTCTAGCACCTCCCCTCTGTTTATTATTTCCTATTTATCCTACATATAGCTCATTTTATATGTATTTGTTTGTATGTGCCTCCCCCATTAGACTGTAAGGTCCTTAAGGTCAGGGACTGTCTTTTGCCTCTTCTTTCATTCCTGGTGCTTAGCAAAGTGCCTGGCACATAGTAGGCACTTAATAAATATTTATTGCTATTGATCAAATCCAACCACCTCATTTTATAGATGAGGAAACTGAGACTCGAAGAGGGAAAGTAATATAACCAAGGTAATACTAAATAACTGAGTTGAGGCTCAAACCAAGACTTTCTGATTCCAAGTCCAATGCTTTTTCCATTACTTTCTGTAAGTTATAGGTCAGAGACGGGGAAAATATAAAACAGCCTCTCAGTTTTTCAGTAGTCATATTAAAAGGGAATATTTAATAAACATCACTGATGTCCCCAGTTCCCCATTCACATACTGAAAAGATTCTTGATTCCTCCCTGGTTGGGTTGCTAACCAACCTGTCATGCAATGATGCTCTGTCTTTAAGATTCACAACCATCTCCCCCACTCTCAATAAGAATGCGCTTAGCACTCAAATCTAAATAAACCATTCCACATGTGCAGGCATGTTTTCCACAGTCCCAGATTCCAGGACATGAATTTCCATGTTCATGCTTTATTAATGAGATAGAATGAGGTTCCCACCATTTGGATTTCACCCCTGATAATTAAAGGTGACCTACCTACCTTGGCTGGATGAAAGAACTCCACATAGTGAGCTATAAAAATATAAGCATGAATTTTCCAGTTGAAAGTGGTCCCCATTAAAGCAATCCCCACTGGTTTTTTAGTATGGACAGCAGCAGCCCTTTGTCTGTTTAATTTAACCTGGGTACAATAAGCAAAGAAGAGGAAAGTAGTTGCAGATGTGGAATCAATGAATATCTCCCCATTCCACCCCCAATCAATGGGGAGGCTGCTGAGGTTATCTTCATTAGTCAGTTCCATGTTAAGAATATTAACTTCTTGTTTAAAATAAGTTCTTTTTACACATCTATTGCCTGGCTGCTTGACCAATTTCATGCCCCGCCCCACCGTAAGTCCTTTATACTCATAAAAGTAGCATAAAAGTCCAAAATCAGGAAAATGATAATAAAAGGAGGCCACCTAGTGTAATAGAAAAGATGTTAGATTTAGAGGTAGAGGACCTGCCTCTAAATAAGGGGTGTGCTGAAAATATATTATACACTTCTAAATTTAATTTGCATCATTGACATTTTTTTCATCACTTTCTTAAGTCTAGACAATCAACAAAACAATAAATCAGGTCGCAATTTGTAGCATTTACTGATTTCTGAGGCATATAATAAAATAAATGCTCACACTGAAAATTTAACGACCAGCTCCCAAGCTGACTCTGGCACACTCCTGGCTTGAATCCACTTACAACTTCTGTGACATTCTCAAGTTGCTTCCCCTCCTGCATCAGTTTTCTTATCTACAAAATGAGAAAATTGAATTAGATGACTTCTAAGGTCCCTTCTACCTCTCAATCTCTGCTTCTATCATCCTTCTGTCCTAGTTAGACAATATCCGGAGTATTTCATTCAGTTTAGAATGTCACCTTTTAGGAACGATTATTATAAATTGGAGCAGGCATCATGAAGGAACTGAGACCATGTCATGCCAAGATCAGTTGGAGGAACCAGGGGTATTTAATATGAAGAACAGAAGACTTAGCAAGGGCATAATTGACATCTTTGAATAGTCTAAGAACTGTCATCTGAATGAGAGATCAGACTCATTCTGCTTGGCCTTAGTGAGAAGAACTTGGAATAATTGGTGGAAGCTGCGGAGAAACATTTCTGCTTGATTTTAAGAACAAACTTAAGTTACGGATGTCCTACCTCAGAATGTAATGAGTTCCCCACTGCTAAAGTATTCTGGCAAAGCATAGGTGACCAATGGTCAAGGATGTTTTAGAGACTGGTCTTCAGATATAGGTTGGACTAGATGACTAGATATATAGCAAGGGGCAAGTGAAAGAATCCTGAATTTGTTGTCAAAACCTAATTCACATCCCAGCTATGCCACTTACTACCTAGATGCCCTTGGGCAAATCCCCTAAACTCTCTGGTCCCCAATTTTCTTATCTATACAATCAAGGGGTTGGATTAAATTACTTCTAAGGTCACTTTCAGATCTAAATCTATGACCCTATGACCTTTGAGATTTCTTCCCACTATGACATTATATAATTCTTTTCTGTTGTTGAGTCATTTCACTCATGTCCAACTCTTCATGGCCCCATTTGGGGTTGTCTTGGCAGGGATACTGGAGTGGTTTGCCATTTCCTTTTCCAGCTCATTTTACAGATGAAGAACTGAGGCAAACAGGGTTAAGCTACTTGCCCAGGGTCACACAGCTAGTAAGTGTCTGAGGCCAGATTCGAGCTCAGGAAGATGAGTCTTCCTGTCTCCAGGCCCTACATTTTATAGTTCTTAGACTGTATAATTACAAACTAAATGTAGGCACTAGAACGTAGTCTCTGGATAAAATAATATAATAAAAAGATAAAAAGGGTGTTCCTTCCACTATACAGATCTTTTACCCCTGAAAATCACATGTTCTGTTTATTACTACTAGCTATTTTCAATCTTAGAAGCACTTCTATTGCAAGGGTTACATCCATACCTTAGTGATAAATAGACAAGTACACCTAGTTGAATTGAAGAACAGCAATCCATCAGCAAAGTAACAAGGCATAGAGCCATCTTCCACCCTCCCCTACCCATGCATAAGGATAGATGTCAGGAGTCCATTTGCTAGACTATGGACATGTTATTTCTAAGCTAAGGTCATTATCCCAGAATAGTAACAGAAGGAGTTAGTTAATATCATATTAGTTAGTTAGTTAGTTAGTTAGTTATAGTAAAATAAGAGGAGTTCTCTGATGAACTTGATAAACTTATAAGGTGGTAAACCTTTATCTGCAACTTAGAATCAGGAAGACTTGGATTTGAATAATGTCTCCTACACTTATTAGACGTGTGACTCTGAACAAATCACATAACTTTTTTTCAGTCTCAGTTTTCTTCTCCGCAAAATGGGGATAATAACAGTACCTACATCAGAAGGATCAAAAGAAATAACTCTGGTAAAGGATTTTGTAAATCATAAAGCACCAATATGTTCAGTCATTTTTCAGTAGTAGCTGAATCTTTACGGTCTCATTTGGGGTTTTGTTGGCAAAGCTAATGGAGTGGTTTTCCATTTCCTTCTCCAGCTCATTTTACAGATAAGAGAACTGAGGTAAATATGGGTTAAGCTACTTGTCTAGGACCATATCGCTAGCAAGTGTCTGATGCTGGATTTTAACTCAGGTCTTCCTGACTCCAGGTCTGGCATTCTAACTGCTGCACCACCTACCAGCTCCCATATAAAAGCATGCTATTAATGTTAGTTATTATTATTTTATTATTTTTATCATCATCATCATTTGAAGATGAACTGATTTGTTCAGATTATTATGAGTTGGAAACACTGTCATTGTGCTGACCTCTCAAAGGGTGTCAAGGCCTCTCTCTCATCCCTTTTGTTTTATTTCTTCCCCTTTTCAAAGAGATCCAGGGAGACCTGAGTCCTAAGTAAAGTCCCCTGATGGTCTGTGTAGAAATGGATAAAAATGTCACCAGCTTCTATGGAAACAGTCAAGGTAACAATTCATATATTGGGTACAAGAGAGGCCTATTTCACCCCCACAAGGCTCCACGAAATGACTAATACTTCAGTTTCAGAGACAGCAACATCTGGAGCTCAGCAGTTGGGCAGCAACAAGACCTCCTAGACCTCTGGTTCCTGGGCACTGCCAGACTTGAAGTGGTAGAAATATGTAGGGTGACACATTCAACCATGTGAGGGGAAGAGAGGGGAAGCATATAGCCAAGGAGTTCCTAAACCCAATTCTTCTGGAGGGGAAGAGAGGAGTTCCTGATTGGGGTTGCTTCCATAACAACTCCAAATTTGAGAGTTTGGGAATCTAGCCTCTTAACAAAATAAAGTGTGGGAGGGGACAGCATTCCGTGTTTATGCTAGCCTCCTAAGGAAAATAAAATTATGTACATGGTCCCTGAAGCTGAAGGAGCAGCAGGAGGATGTAAGCCATGATACAGGAAATAAAAAAGACTTGGAATGTAGCCTCCACTCTATCCATTAGTTATTCATATTCCTTCCGATGGGAAGGAAATTGCCTTTCTTGCACTCTCAAGTTCATATTCTTTTCTGAGGAGAGCCCAAACCACAGGGTGGTGCCAAGAATGAGTCTGGGGAACAGTCCAGGTCCTAGAGAAGAAAGGATATATTGGAGAGAGAAGAATTGCACCAGTTGCTTATGGGTTACTGTGAGTCCTTGACGTGGTTTGTGCATTTTCTATAGAGTGAAATGGATGCTGACCTGCATGCTCATTGTTATCTCTGGTGATTGCATGAGAATTGGCTGCTTTACTCATAGCTCAACCTCACTACTTGATTTACACTTTGAGATTTCTCAGGGGCAACTCTGGATGGGAACACGATGAGCCAAGGAAAGAATGATTTTGGTGAGTAGCCTTGCTGGTAAAAGTTTAACAGTTGGCTCCCCAGGAGAAAAAGCAAAGTATACACATCACACTTTTAAGTTTAATCTGCTTTAACATTTTCTCTCTTACTTCCTTAGGTCTAGAAATAAACAAAACAATAAATCAAGCTATGATTTCTAGGGTTTGCCAATTTCTGAGCCGTAAATGCTTACACTGAAAATTTCACAATTGGTTCTGGGAGCTGGTCTGATCTGGCTCCAGGAAACCCAGGGCTTGGTCACATTTATATAGCGCCCTAAGGGTTTGAGAATTCTTTCCCCACAATAATCCTATGCTATGGCTAAAGTGAGCAAGGGGGTGGGTGGGTAGGTAGACTGGGGAACGGGTGGATCTCAAATGTCTTAGTGCAGTGTTCAGCTTTAATAGCTAATAATCAATCACGATAATGATAGCTAGCATTTACATAGCACTTACTATGTGCCGGACACTGCGCTAAGCATATTATAATTAGTATCTCATTTGATCCTCATCACAACCCTGGGAGGTATATGCTATTATTATCCCCATTTTACAGATGAGCAAACTGAGGTAAACAGATGGTAAGACTGGCCCAGGGTCACACAGCTAGTAAATGTCTGAAGCCATATTTGAACTCAAATCTTCCTGACACAGGCCCAGCACTCTATCCATTGTGTCATCCTGCCCAATAACAGGTTAAAACTGCACTAAGACTTTTGGAACACCACACACACACACACACACACAAATAAATTATATATGATTATATATTTCATATTATAAATTACATTATATTATATAATACCATATATACATGTACATGTATACACATATATGTACACATACATATATAGATATGTGCATAGATGTGTACACATCTATGCACAGATATATGTTAGGATACCCTTTTTGAAGATTATAAGATCTTTATAGATCATAGATCTGGAGCTAGGAGAGACACTAGACACCCTTGTCGTAGTCCAAGGGTGGGGAACCTGCAACCTTAAGGCCACATGTAGCCCTCTAAGTCTTCAAGTGCAGCCCTTTGACTGAATCCAGATTTGTCCTGTGAAGTTTGGATTCAGTCAAAGGGCTGCACTTAAGGACTTAGAGGGCTGCATGTGGCCTCAAGGCCACAGGTTCCCCACCCCTGTCCTAGTCCCTCACTTTACAGATGAAGAAACTGAGGCCCAGAGAGATTAAATGACAGTCCAAGGTCATAACATAGGCAGAATTTCAGCCCATGTCTTCTGACTCTAAACACAGCATGACTTTCACCACAGAGCAACACCTCTGCATAGATGAAAGTAAAGGAAAATACATTGACTTAATAAAAGGGCATTACACAACGTAGTCGAATGAAAAGCTCTTGGAATCAAAAGGCGGAACTGTAACTAGGGATTCCCAGATGGAGGGAAACCAGTAGGAAAGACACCTCAAATCTTTTTTTTTTACAAAAGACAAATTCAGTTGAGGGAGGAAAGAGACCTTGGATGTGAAGACACAAGCTTCTGTGATGAGAGAGATCAGGAACTTGGCAAGATCACAGCTCAGAAGGCCCCCAGCTGGGAAGGGTTGACTTAGGAGAAGCGCCCTCATTTAGTCCTGCTACCTAGATGTCAAGGCCAATGGTTTTCACCTGCTGAAGGAGGCTAAATGATGTCAGTTCCCCAAAGCTACATCTGTGTCAGAAGTCCTGGGTTCAGGTCCCCAGGTTTGGTACTTATCAGCTGTGTTACTTGGGCTAGTCATTTTATGTCTCCATGTCAGCTTTCTCATCTGCAAACTATTTCCTCTACTTATCTCACTGGATTGTTGTGAGGAAAACACTTAATGCCTACATAAGTTGTTGATAACTAATGCATTGTATAGGAATTTGAGCAAGGTAGAGGAGTTCATTTCC